ATGCCAGACAAGTCTCTCTAATGTATGGCTCATTGATTTTTTTATTGTAGGTCTACAGCAGCGGTGGCGAGTTTCAGCTGGAGCTGCCCAGCGGCGGCTCCGAAGGACCTCAAAATCTATGGGAAATACCACCGCATTCACTGAAGCCAGTCATACGCATTTCGTTCCACGGACGCACCGCTGGCAACCACAGCGCCTATATACGTATAAAAATAGCTGAGCAAGCGGCAGCAGATGATGATGCCTCACCGCTGCAGCATCTAAACGAGAACGTACTAGTCATACCCGTTGAATTCGAAATATTGCCACGACACGGCGCCTATGCGCGCAATCCGTTGGCCGATTTTGGCCGTCTGACGACGGATGAGCACGCAGATGCGTTGCATTTCAAATTGGACATGCAAAATCAGCCAGTGGACGCGGCGCAGCAACAGCTAATTGGCAATTATCTGCGCGACATACCAGGCCTTAGCTATGATGCGCACGACGCGAGCATTGTGCTGGATCCCAGGCTATTTGATGACAGCGCCAGCATTAACGATATACTCGTCATCAGCAGTGGTGAAGAGGCAGAGCAGCAGCAGCAATTCACTGTGTTAGTGCGAGCTGAAATCTTTAAAGGTGGCCTCCACTACGATCGCAATGTTACGCTCTTCATAAGCAGCTCCAGCGTCGATGAGCCATCGCTGGAAAAGGAACGTACGCTGGTGGTGCGCAATAATTTTGCCTTTCCGCTGAAGCTCTACAACCTCAGCCTGACGGAGCCCATTGATCCGGCGCTGCTGCAGCTGTCGTCGCTGGAACATGAGTTGCTGCTGCAGCCGGGCGAGTCCGTGGAGTTGCTGCAGCTGAAACTGCTCAATGAGCAGGCAACCTTCAAGTCTGTGCTGCTCATCGTCAGCAATGTGACAATATTCGAGCTGCCCGTTGTTGCGTGCAGCGGCCGTTTGCATGTGTCCACGCAACAATATACATTGCAGCTGCCGAAGGAGAGCGAATATGGACTGGAACTGGATCTGGGCACTGTGCCATTTGCGGAGAAGTCACGCGATGGCTATATCATATTGCGGAACGACAATCCAATGCCGATCAAGATAACCAACTGGAACTTCAAGCCGCCCAAGAATGTCTACTTTCAGGCCGCATTCATGGGCTGTGTGTCATCAGGCGCCGCCATCGTAGCCAACAATACGACAATTGTAAACCCTGCGCAGCAGCCGGAAAATGTCACAGGATTTCGTTTCTGTGACCAGTTGGGCGTCGGCGATAGCGTCGTCTTCATACTGTCCATACAAACGTATGTGGCCGAGGAGAGCACCGGCACGCTGAAAGTGTGGACACCCTACGAGCTGATACGCAGCACGGTGCGCTTTAAGGCCTCCGTTGGCCAGCTGGATATTGAGCAGGATCAGCTGCAGTTTAAGTCATGTTTTCCGGGCAAGATATGCTCCGCGGTGTTGAGCATACGCTCCAGTTTTATGCATCCAGTGCATGTGAAATCAATATCGTTTACCCGTGCCGGTTTACGCTTTAAGGACTTCAATGCAAAGGGCTCTCTGATTGGCGCACAAACATTGACCAAGGTGGGTCGCATCTACTTTGAGCCGGCGGCGCTCTGTGGCAGCGCTTGCTATATACGCGCAACCGCCGATCAGCACTCGATCTTTCCTAGCAATAGTGGAGCAGCTGTAGCAGTCGGGCACATCAACAACAATCTGCTGTACGATGGCGTCGAGGTGCGTCAGCGCACGGAACTCTATCGTCAGTTCAAGCGGCAGCTGCACGCCATGTCGCTAACACTGCACAGCGAGGAGCTGCCGCCCTTGGAGCTGGACTTTAGCATTGCCATCGAGTGGCCCAAGCTGGTGCAGTATCAGCCGCTGCCGCCCACGCCGGCCATAGAGGTGGGTCAGGTGCAGCGTCAATGGATTACGATGACCAATCCCACAATGCAGCCGCTGCTGCTTGACTATTTTCTATCGGACCCGGCCTATGCCAGGCGCACCCAACTGTCGCTGCCGCACGAGGTGATCGATGTGAGCAGCAGCAGCTGCTACCTGACGGACCAGGATGTCTTCTCGCTGCCCGACGCCCCGTACGGCGGACCTGTCCTGCTGCACGGCGGCGCCACACTAACCATACCCGTGCAGTTCAGCGCCCAGCAGCCGGACAAATACTGCACTCTGTTGCATGTGCGCAGCAATCTAACGCTTTACGAGGCCGTTTGGCTGACCGCGCGCGCAGTTCAATCCCAGTTCCGCTTGGGCAATCGCCGTCCCGGCTCCAGTGCGCCGCTGCTCTTTGAGTTTGGTACGGAACAGTTCGAGCGTTGCGATGGCAGCTTTAAGCCGGCCGATAACCAGAATACGGATGTTGTCTCGAGCCACACGGTGTCGGCTACGCGCAGCTTTACCGCTCGCAATGCCGGCGTGCTGCCTATCCGGATAGGAGGGTTTCTCATTGGCAAGCGTTCGTGTGAGGGCTATGGCTTTAGGGTGCTCGATTGCCAGAGCTTTGAGCTGGGCGAGAACGAGACGCGCAAGATCGAAATAAGCTTCAGCACAGACTTTACCGCGTCGCGCGTCCAGCGCACTCTGACGCTGCTGACGAATCTCAGCTATGACATTAGCTATCAGCTGGTCGCCCAGCTGCCGGCGGAGAGTGTGGAACGTTGTGCGGCGAGCCTGCCGCGACCCACCTGGGAGCCGGCGTTGCGCAATGTCGCTCTGGTCTTGCTACTGGCCAGCTTCTGTCTAGTGCTGCTCGCGGGCATCTTTGATGCGCGTGCGATAATGGCCCAGCAAAGTGCCTACGATGCGGCTCGTTACAAGGGTCCCGTGCAGCCGACCTTCAATTTGCGCAACATTGTCAAGATGCAAGTGGCCGAGGAGGCAGCAGCAGCAGCCGCTGCAGCAACAGCGACTGCACTCAAAGCGGAACAGCAACAGAAGCTGAGAAATGGTCAGCTCAAGGAGCTGCGCAAACGCACCACGACCAGCTCCACAGCGGATAAAGTGACGGCCACTCGGAAGCCCAAGTCATGGACAGCATGGAGCATGGACATGACCAGCTGCGAGCCCAAAGCGGCAGCTGTTGCAACTGTCGCCGCCGTCGCCGCACAACCAAAGCCCTCTAGTTCGCCGAAGCCCAGCAAGAAGACGACGTCGGCGCCAGTGCAGACGCCGCCCGTGGCTGTGCGCGCACCAAAGAAACCGAAACAAACGATGCCAGTGATCCCCATGCCCAAGCCAAAAGTGGAGCCAGTTGCTGTCGAAACGCAAGAGAAGCGCTCCAGCCCAAACGCCAAAGCAATTGGCAGCAATCCGCAACAGGAGAATGTCTCGCCGCGCTCGCTTAAAACCAATCCCGATACGCCCAAGGAACGTGTGCTCAAGGAGCAAAACGGCAGCGCCAAGAAGCTAGGCAAGACACCCGGTCGGGAGCGACGCAAGGAACAAAAGCTGGCCACGCTCAATGGCGGCACCTCGGGCAAGAAGTCATCCGCAGAGCGCAAGCAGCGCAGCAAACAGCTCAATTTCAATGGCCATGCAATGGCACCCGGTGGCGCCTCACCGCTGACCACACCAGAAGCGGACACCCTGACCATCAGCTCGCCGTGGGAGACCAGCAGTCGGGTCTCGTTCCGGGATGTGCTGCAAACGAAGCCCCTGCCGGCGGTCGACAACGGCCTCAACTGGGATCCGTCAGCAAGTGATTTGGCCAGCAGTCAACTAGGTCCAATTGGCAGCCGGAAGAGCCTGCCCGCCCCGGCGAAAAGCCTCTATCAGCCGCTAATGACGCCGGAGACGACCGCAACGAGCAATGCGCTGATTCGTTCACTTTTTGCCAATTCCGAAGCGCCGGCCATGGACTTGAATATGGAGCTGCCTGACTTAAATGGTAAATGGATAAGGCTTGCTAATTATAGCCTGCTAATTCCGCTTCTATTTCCTCTTGCAGATCTTTGCGGCAGCTTGTATGAACGAGAGCAACCGCCGTCGCAGTGGGAACGCAGCGAATTGATACTGAAGCAGCAGCTGCTGCTGGAGCAATTGGAGCAGCAGCGTAAGCAAGAGCAGCAGCAACAGCAGCAGCAGAAGCTCATGCTCATGGAGAGCAATAATTGGGCCATGAATCAGGCCACAGCGGGCACTACTTGGACGCCGCTGGGCTATGCCGCATGGCCGAATCAGTCAGCCGCAGCGGCGCCGCAACGTACATCTCCAGCGCATACTCTAACGCCGGGCGTGGGCGTTATACGTCCACCGCCGGGACTGGAATCGACTTACAACAATTGCCATTTGCCAGCAGCAGGAGCAGGAGCCGGAGCAGCAGCTGCTACCAACAATAACGGAAACCATAGCAATAACCATTTAGATGGTTTGAACGCATTGCAGAACGCACAAGATCGGGCACAGCACAATATGCCCACACAATACGATCCATTTACCTCGCCAAGCTCAATCTGGTCGGACAATTGGCGCCAGCGCAACAATCATATGAACTGAAGGTGCATCAAAAGCTCACTGATCAAATTTAAGCAACCAAATGAAATTCTTATTCTATAGACATTTAGGCTACGCTAAGATTGATGAAACATGATCTTTTCCAATTTGACATTTGACTAAATAAACGCAAAGATTTATGACTTTTCAATATATTTATATTCTATAGATTCATTTATAAGCTGGTAAGATTATTTATAATCAACATGTGTAACTTTTTCATTACTCCCTCTCTTCCTTTTTTATAAGTAGGTATTTTTACCGGGCTCTTCTCTTCTCCCTCTCCCTTACTCTCGCTCTCTTCAACGTCTACTCTCTTCTTTTGTCTAACACTCTCCTTAGTATACCTCCCTTCTATGCGATTCTCATAAACTCATCTAGCTATTAACTATTTTGATGGCATTTAGTGAGATGTATTTATGAAACAAACTTTGAAAAAGTTTAACGCATGATAAATATTAAAAGGAATATAGTGTAGATTCAATTCGTTCTATGTATTGAAAATTTACTACACAATTTGTATACAATTAATCAGTAAGCATTACAAAACGTAAAAAAATCAGGATAGAAGCTAATTGTCTATACAACATTTTGTTCATATTATAATTGTCAGACTAAAAGAAAAATTAGCTAAATAAGCCGCTGTTGTAGCCTCAACAGTTGTCCTTGTACGTGATGACGCCCTTCTCGATGAGGTCCGGTATTTCCACAGCCAGCCAGGGCGCCAGGCCGAGGGCCATGGCATGGCCTATGCCGAACTTGGGTACATTGCGTGCCCACAGTGGCTTGAAGTGATCCGTTAGACAGATTTTGCCACCCCGATACATTTTGGCCGTCTTGCCGTCCAGTTCCGGCAGCGCTATTTCCGGTGCCGTCGTCGGATATGTCACTGGAATGTCGAACTCCACATCGAATTCGTATTTGAGCAGATTATGCATGTACCAGCACTTGCCGAACCATTTGGTGCCTTCCTTGTTAGACTCAAGACGGAACCAGTCGCTGCCAGATTGCTTGTTGTTCTCCACATACTAAAGGTAAGTAATTTGTTAGACAATTTGTAATTATTTATTTAATTACATGCCTTGATTAATGCTTGATATTCCTCCTTGAGTCTCTGCACCCATATGTCTTTCTCACGCGGACCGGCGCGTATTTGCAACAATGGAATATTACTTAGTGTTTTCCTGGTGCTATCGTCGACCATGGCGCTGCTTGGGACTCACAATCTGGCACGAAATAAATAAAACACTTAATAATACAAATGAAAACAACAAGTGTGACACGTCTGAAGTGAAATTATCGGCCTATCGATAAATCGAATCGATAGCTCAGCCATGACAAAAGCTCGTTGCTATAGATAAAGGAAATTCGTCAGCGATAGTTTATTTTTTTGGCGCCAATACGTTGCATAGAAAAATATTTAAATATTTACAAATTAGACTTTCGCCACAGCTGCTATTGCTGTACAAACTAGCAGGGCGATTCGAAGCCGGGTATAAATAGCGCAGCGCAATGGCCGGCTAGCCCAAACAATATTTGCCTGTCGGCAGATAACCTGCTCACTTGGCTGAAGACATAAATCTATCAAGAACTTGCAGACATCAAAGTCGTGTTAAATGTGCTAGTGCTTTTGTAAACAAAACAACAAAACTTGTGCTTAGTTATATATTTTGCGAATATCAACTGAAATTAATTGGGTAAGTTGATCTGCATGTGAATAATTGAGTTTTATGTGAATCATAGCTGATGCATATTTTGCTACAGCTGCTAGCTTGTGATTTGTGATTATAAATGTTTAGGAATATAAATATGCATGACTTTAGTGACAACAGAACGAGGAACAACAACAACAACGACAAGAGAAAAAAAAAGAACCACATTTGTTCAAGAAATGGGATCCACTCGTGTCTGACCCTAAGCATATGAAAACCCCAGAAAATATTCCATTGGTAAACACGATTTTACCAGAATTTAAATCAATTAAAAAAATATGAAAAATAGATTGTCATGCTTTGTGAACCATTGGCACAGATTAATGAAGCTGCCTGCAATTAGAACAAAAAACAAACACACGGCGTTTGATACCTTTGAACTGATAATGCGAATCCGCTGATAAGGCTTTAAATCCACTTTAGAACCGACTCAAACCGGTTTGCCGCACACACAGGCCCATTCGTCTTGAATTATAAGTCCACTCTGTCGCTCATCACACTGAACCATACTCTAATCTATATGTAAGTACGCAACGTAACCAGATTCGACCTTAATGCCGCTGATAACGGCCGACTCTGTTGCGCTATACCAGTTCGGGATGTGCTGGAATGCCTGTCTTGGAACCGGCTGAAACCAGTTTTCAACTCTTCGCTTTTCCATTTAACACTTTTCAATTAAAAAAGAAAACAACAAGCTACAAATTGTTTACCCATCTTTATACACTGATTACGCCGAATTATTAAGTTCATAATTATGTCATAGGGCACATAATCAACACTCTAAGCCACGGCTGGTAGACACCGCCTCCTCCATCTCCTGCACCTCCAAGTCCGACTGCTCCACAGCTCTTGAGGCAGCAGCTTCTGCATTTGCTGTTGTCTTGCGCACGCTCACTGCAATTATCGTATCCGTTCGGCGGTAACGGCCATGATGCTGATGATGGTACTCCTGCCACTCCTTGTAGTGCATCTTTTTGCGGTGTGCATGCATGTTGGCATTCGAATTGAATGTTTTCGGGCAATGTGGACAGGTGTACAGCACCTCGCCTGTATGCGTTGTCATGTGTTCCTGGCATTTAAAACAATAAGAGTTTTTTATTGGCACCCTATTCATAGCCGAATAGCCAGCTCAACTTACACGCAATTCATTGGGCCGTTTGAATGCCTTCTCGCACATTGGACACTCGTGCGTTCGGGCCGTGTTGTGTGTGTACTTGATGTGGTGCTGATGCGCTTGTAGGCTGGGCGAGATTTTGAGGCACACTTCGCACTGCATGGGCTGCAAATTCTCGGCGGTGTGCATCATTTTAATGTGACGCGCCAGCCCGTATTTGGTTGTCAGCGTTGATTCGCATAGATGACACTTGATTATCTTTTGCGGCGCACCCGCATGCTCCTCCATGTGACGTGCCAGAGCCTCGCGGCCGCGTATCGACTTGCCGCACACGTCGCAAATCTTGTCGAATTTCCTCAAATGCACCAGTTTCACGTGCTGCTGCATAAGGTACTCGTTGGGGAAGCTGCAAGCATTCAGATTTTATTTATATAGCATATATATAGGAGATGATAAGTGCTCACGTCTTGCTGCAGTTGGTGCACGCCGCATGCCATTGCTCCTTGGGAATGTGGGTCAGTTTGTGGCGCTCGCAGACAATGGAGCTGTAGAAGCTCTTCGAGCAGTGCTCGCACTGGTAGAGTCGGCCACGTTGCTTGATCTCGTGCATGCGCATGTGCAGCTCCAGGCTGCGACGCTGGCCCATTACGCGATGGCATATCTGGCATTTGAATAGATCCGGATTCTGATGGCGTTGCAGATGGTCAACGAGTACGCCGCGCTTCCAGAACTTCCGATTGCAGCACATGGCATAGCCGCGCTGATTGTGCTCCTTGCGCGTATGGGACAGCATCTCGGAGAAGTCCTCCAGCGGCACATTGCACACCGGACACTGTACTTTATAGTTTTCCCTAATGTATTCATTGAATTCTTGGGATTTCTTTACGTTATGAACGCCGCCACCCTTCACCTTGTGCACGACCTTTAATTTGGTTGCGCAGCGACGCTTTTTGCCATTGCGAGGTCTTTTCTGTTTCGGCTTGGCAATGGCTGCGTCAGCTTCGCTTTCGTTGTCGCTTTGCTGCAGATAATCGGATATAGTCTGGTCCTTCTGATCCTCAAGCACATCGGCTATGCTCAAGTCGGCCTCGGGAAACTCAATTTTAATCTCGTTCAAATTGATCTGCTCCAGCACGGCCTTAAACTCGCTGCTATCGATACCTGTTGCTGCCTCGCCGGGAAACTGTTTGCGTGGACGACCACGCCTACGCTTGACAGAGGCCGCGACACTGTCGCCCAGTCCACTCTCCGTCTTGACCACATCCTTGGGTACGCCCACAGCCACGGCAAACGTTGAGCCTTCCTGGGGCACGCTCGCTTCGGTTTGTTTGGCTGTTGCTTCTACGTTTGTGATTTCTAGAAGAGCCTTGTGCGCCTGTTCTACATCTGAATAGAAACTATGGAATGCATATAGTTGTGTCCAGCAAGCACCGCAAACGTGTCCATTGGCGTCTTCAATCTACAAATGAAATTTGAGCATATAAAATGTATAGATTCGATTTTTTAGCAATTGCTACCCGCAGCCAGAAGTGTTTTTCTATGATTTCCTTAACATTGAGCAGCTCGGCTTCATGTGAGCCAAACTGGATATTCCCAATAGCATTATCTGTGCACTGTGTGCACAAAAAACACATATTAATATGCTGTTTACGTTTTGATAATTAAAAACGATTAGAATGCGACAGCAGGCAGCAGACAAACAGCTGTCCAGGGTCAAATGCGAGCTGCCAACTTGCAGCAAATGCGGCCACACTATTTTAAACAGGTTGGCAGCACTTTCGCCTTGGCGTCGCGACTTGACTGTATTAATTTAAACAATTTAAGTGATTTTCGGCTGATTGTGGCGCTTAATGCCGTAAACGTTTTTAAATGTGCTGCAAACAGAATACGCAATGAGCACAACATGCATACGCCCTTTGTATTTGATTAGGCACAGACTTGGGCGTAAGTTCATATACTCTTTGTCGTAGACGTTCTTTGAGTGTTTTTTCTTTTCTTTGAGTTTTTTTGATTAGCCCTTCGCCCAGACACTGTTGTTAGAGAGTTTTATTTGTAGCTGCATGATTTTGAGATTTGATAGCAAAGTATACGACTGATAAGCTTATTAAATATAATAAGCCAATTGTCTTAATGCGTTACTAAACTTCTTATCTTAATTTACGTTCCAGCTTCAGCTCTTGCTCGACTCCTAGACATTGCTCTGCATTAACAGATTTTACGCAATGGACACGCAAGCTGGACGCACTGTGCCCGACGGCGGCTGGGGCTGGGTTGTGGTCGCCGCTGTGGCTGTCATTAATGTAAGTTCACTGTAACTGCGTAGTTGAGCTTGTCCACTTACTCTTTTCCTCTTATAGATGACCAATCAGTCCATATTGTCGGTGTTTGGACTGCTTTTCGAGAGCCAACTGCGCATGCATGAGGACACATTCACCGCCGCACTTATTACAAATTTGAACAGTCTGGCCTTGAACTTCTCGGGCTTGTTTATTGGGCCGGCCATCAAGAGTTTTAAGCCACGCAATGTAGCTGCGACGGGCTGCCTGTTGGTGTCCCTTGGCTTGACTCTTTGCTCGTTTGCCACGCAGAGCTGGCATTTTATCGTTGGCTACAGCTTGTTTGTCGGCTTTGGATTGGGCTTGATTTCACCATCCACTTTTATGGCCATCAATTCCTACTTCAGTAGCAAACGTGGACGCGCCGTTGGCGTCTCTTTGGCGGGCGCTGGCGTGGGTCAAGTCTTCATTCCTCATATGGTGCGTTATTTCCTGGATAATTATGGCTTTCGTGGTGCTGTGCTCGCCATGGCCGCTCTGTCGCTAACTGGGGTTAGTATAAATATATACCTCCTCTTATTATCTTTAACTAATAATATTTTACATCTTTAGCTGTTCGGTGCCATGTTTCTCAGACCGCTCAATCCACCTGCCAAACACAACAATCGCAAGCATCTGAAGTTGACGATGGATAAGGAGGACAAGAATCAATCCTGCGCCTTGCAGGCAATCGTTGTACAACCTGCCCAGAGTAATGGCACGGCAAAGGATACAGAGGACATGTCGTTGTGCAGCAGAATGGGCCATCGCTTGGCGCAGGCCATGGACTTGGAGCTACTTAAGGACCCCGTATTCTTGAGCATTATTGTGGGCATGGCGCTGGTCTATACGGCCACAATTAACTTCACGATGGTCTTCCCCAACTTCCTAAAGCACACGGCTGGCTTCGACAGTAAAGTGGTCGCCACATGCATGTCGGTTGTGGCTGGTGCCGACATTGTCTTCCGCCTGCTGCTGCCCTGCATTACCGATCGACTGAGAATACCCTATCGTGTAGTGTTCTTACTGGGCACAGCGGGTTTGCTGATTGCTCGCCTTCTGCTGGCTGAAACGACCAGTTTGCCGACGATTATTGCCATGTCCGTGCAAATAGGCATGACCAAATCGGCCACCGTGATTAACAATAATCTAACAATATCGGCGTATTGTCGTTCCGAGAAGCTAGCCGGTGGTCTGGGCCTTAGCATGATATCAAAGGGCATAATTGTAATAATAGTTGGCCAGCTGCTTGGCTGGGTGCGCGATTATTCCAATTCGTATGTCGTCTGCTTGTATGCACAGAGTGTGGTGCTGTTTCTGGTCGTGGTAGTGTGGGCCCCAGAGATATATTATCGCTACAGAATGCAGAAACGAAACTTGACCAAGTCCATGGAGACTACTTATATGTCGCCGGAACAGGCGGAACCCTTGACGTTGCGCTCATAAGTACGCCAGAGACAAATTATCGCTATAGAATGGAGAATCGCAACTTGTCCAGGTTTATGGAGACTATTCACATGTCACCGAAACTGGCGGAACCATTGAATTTGTGCTCATAAGCACGAAAATTTGTATTAGTGGACATAATTATAATAATGTGATAATTAAGCGTTGTGACCAAATGCGCTAGATTAAGTTTAACTTATTTATTACCATTTAGTGTTTAAGAACATAACTTTTGTACTGCCGTAAAAGCGAAATGATATATAAAAAACTACTGAAATAACTGAATTTAGCATTCATTCCAATTTCAATTCCCTCTAGTTTTGTGAGCCCTGAAATCTAGACTCCGAAACAGTTCAGCTGCCACCATATCAGATGACATGTTGTATTCTTTAGTTAGCTAAGTTTATTCTATTTATTATCATATAAGAGCTTGACTTTTGGACTGCCCTAAAAGCGAAATGAAATACCAAAAACTCTTTTTAAGAAACCAAATTATTATATTTTCCACAAGAGTAATCTAATCAGAATTTAGAATCCATTCCATTTAGTTTATAAAGCTTTGCGAGCCTTCAATCGTAGACTCCCCAGTCACTGTGTTGTAGAACAATCGACGCTCCATGCCATTCTTGGTGATAATGCCGATACGCACGACGCCGCCGGAGCTGCCATCATGGTAGATGGCATGTTGTACAGCTGGGAAGCAGATGGAGCAATTAGAGTTAAATAAATGAAGATGAAGAAGCAGCACAAACCTTTCTTGACAAAGTCGATGCACTCATCCATTGGCATGCCAGGACGATAGTGCTCTTTGACAAAACCGTAGATGTAGCTGGAGCCCGAGCCGCCTATGGTGCAACCCTCGCGTGTCAGCATACCACCAAGTGGCACACTGTACACTTGACCACCACGCTCCTCATCCCAGCCGGCAACAATGATGCCAGCTAACAGGGAATCACGGTAGTTATAGCAATAGTTGCGAAACTCGGATGCCGCCTCACATACAAGCGGTTCCTTGTTGGTTTGATTCCTGTGGTAGTTCAGTGAGTAGGCCACAATGTCGGCTATGGCCTGGGTATCAGCTGCAGAGCCGCTGCGGCAGCAGTATATATTTTCCGAGATTTGAGTCAATTTGTCGGTCACTCGATTTGCAACATATGCGCCCGAGCTGGTGCGAGAGTCTGCACCGATCACAACGCCGCCATCAAACTCCACAGCCATAATAGTTGTCTGTTTGGTAGTTATTGTTAAGCATGCTGCATAAATTGAGTTGTGGTATTAGGACTTACGCCAGTGCTGACGGGAGTGTCGGTGAAGTCAATATCGGGACCCATGCTGCTTGTGATTTTTTCTTTTTAAATTTGTAATTCGTGCAGTGAAATGCAAAGCAAAATGACTGGCTTGTTTTTGGCAAGTGTTGCGAAGCAGCTAACCGGCTCAGTGCTGTTAAATGCTATTGCAGGCATGCAAATGCGATATATTTCAAATGCGATATATCGCTATCGTTATCGCCCATCCACATGTTAAATTTGTTTTGATTCTGCTTTAAAAACATTTTTGCCTATTTATTGGAAGAAAATGGCATACGTTGCGCTTAGCGAGGCAGAGAAAACTTTTATTCTGCATGGCGTTGAGGTGTGTTTCAATATATTAGCTTCAGAAATGTTTGTAATATGCGCTTTTAGGAGGATTTCCGCTGTGATGGTCGTTCGCGCCGCGATTACCGGCCAATGGAACTGGAAACGGGCCTGGTCAGTAATGCTAGTGGGTCGGCACGACTACGTTTAGCGAATACGGATATTTTGGTGGGCGTCAAAACTGAAATTGATGTGCCCAATCCGTTAACGCCTCAATTTGGCAAGTTGGAATTCTTTGTGGATTGGTAAATAGAGCCTTAGTAAATATTAAAAATTGGCTATTAAACCTTCTGTCACAGCTCGGCGAATGCCACTCCAGAATTTGAGGGTCGCGGCGGCTCAGATTTGGCACAGGAACTGATACTTTCACTGCAAAATGCCTACGAGTCCCCATTTGCCTTCGACTATCGCACCTTGTGCCTCATACCAGGACAGCAATGTTGGAAACTTTACATAGATATATTGGTAAGAGGTTTTTTGTATTATAGTAATTCGTTACTTAATTAATCTACTCCTCAGATCCTGGAATGCGGTGGCAATCTGTACGATGCTGTTTCCCTGGCAGCCAAGGCGGCGCTCTACAACACAAAGCTGCCGCGCGTAACTGCAACATTGCTGGACGCAGGTGTCACGGATTTAATTATATCTGACAATCCTTACGACTGCACGCGCATAGGCATCGATGCAGTGCCCCTGCTTGTGACCGTATGCAAGATTGGTGATTATTGCCTTGTGGATCCCACAGCTGAGGAGGAAGTCTGCAGCACAGTCAGCATGGTTGTATCCGTGTCCATGCGTGACAATGAAGGTACATTCGAAAGCTATAATTAAGAGATAATTCCTACTTGACATAGCTTTACTTCCAGCTTATCTTTCTGGCACACACATGACCGGTGGCGGCTCCATGCACAGGGATACCATGCTAAACAGCATACAGCTTGGCCTCTCCATTGGCGAGCAACTGAACAGCTTGCTCGTCAAGATGCTTAAGTCGGAGGAGGGGCGAGTGGGGCCTAAGCGGCCCAAGACAGTGGGATTTCTTAAATAAAAGTGAATTATTATGAAAGTTTATTTAATTTACTGACATTTGACTATACATTGAAATTGTTTTCTCTATTAGCTTAGGGCTTTATCAAATTAATTTACGGCACAATTGTTAATTGCGTTTTTTTGTTTGTTTGCTAGCGGCAATTGGTTTCTTCTCCTTCGGTTCGGGCTGCTTACCTGCCAGGAACGAGGTCAGCATTTCACTGATCTCTGGCATATCGTTTGTCATCTGTGGAGCAATATTAATACATAAGTATCACCTGTTTATAGTTGAATAGATGCTGTTACCTTGGGAAATTGAATGTTCTCAATTTCCTTCTTTGTCTCCGGATCGTTGATCATTTTAGGTAACACCAGCATAAGTAGCAGGGGCAGGGCCATCATTAGCACCATTGGGCTGAACAGGAAGTCGGTTATCTATAAGGATAAATGAAGGCGTTAGACTGGCAAATACATGTAACCTTTTTGGGTGCACAAACCTTCCATTGCTCGCGGGTCTGGAAGTACTTGAATCGCATAAGCGGCTTCATCCTGAGTGGGTAGGGCACTTGTACCACCTGTGCCGGCTGCATGTAGTTTACTTTGCGTGCCCGGAACTTGCCTTTGGGATTGATTTCAACGCGCACGGGCTCGTAGAATATGTCCGGATGATAGATGTCTAGCACATAGCTGCCGGAGGGCACTCCGCTGATTATGAATTGTCCATCCTCGCGCACAAATCCCTTGTACTCGCCATTGTTAATGCTTATAGACAGATCTACTTGCCATTTGTTGTTGCCGCTTGGCAGGGTAACCGCATGACCCTGACTCGCTCCGGGGCCCACTTCGGGAGCATACACTTTGCCCTCGATTGTGTAGTGGCCGGAAACCTCGTCCACGACGTCCTCTTGACCGATGACCACTTCGCAACTACTCAGGGCGACGAGTGCTGCTATAATTAATAACTTATAGCACATTTTTCTATTACTATTTTGAGCCAGCGCTAAGTGAAAAATTTTATTGGTGCAGAAAAAAACACATCAGATGTTTCTCGTCATCGCTTATCGATAAGCACTGGCACACATTTATCGATAGCAGGCGGGAATGGTGCAGTCGCAATTCACCACAAGCATTTTTCACCTCTGTCACACACAGCATGCGCCTGCCCAATTGGAGCATTAAGTTGTCAGTTGCAGATTTGAATTCGAGGCGCGCTGTCTTGTGCGCGAAGTATACGAAAACAAATACAAAAGCCATAAACAGCAGTCGATTTTATTTAATTGAAACATTTTAACAGAAATAATACATAGGTTAGTGTTCATTATTTGCAAAACAAGTTTTGCAGCAAAAATTGATGCCCGCCGCGTGTTCCACATAACAAAAGTCAAGTAAAAAGGTTACTGGCCAATAGGTTTGTGTTTTGGTTTCAGAGCATACATGCAATATGCTAATATGTGTGCTGCAATGCATTTGAAAGTGAAATTAAACTTGAAAAAAAAAAAAATAGCTTCAAGCCGCACCCAAAGCAAAGCAATAATTGTGGTATTTGTGCTATAAACCGATAACTTGTTTCAAGTTTAGAAGACAAACCTGCGATTCAGTTCGTTAAAAAAAAAACTAAAATTCCAAAGTCGCAGTTGGCGTAGAGTGTGAGACTTGCGCGAAAAAGACAAACAACAACAATGAGAATGTATATATGTATATATGAGATGGCAACAACAAAGCTGAGTTGTTTTTATGTTTCTACTACTATGTCGCAGGTTGCTGTTGTTGTTGTTGTTGTTGTTGTTGTTATTGTGACTACGGTAAAGCTGTACTGGAAACCGGTTTCCAGTTATGCCAGACAATGATGCTGTGTGTATGTGTGTGTGCGTGCAAGTGCATGAGTGTTCAACAACGCAACAACAAAGCTCTAGCGCCGGCAGTTGTCGCATATATTTTTCTCAGCACTTTTCAATGGCAAAACCCAAACGCAATGCATTCTAATACAATGGCAAATAATTAATGAAACAACTTTTTATGTGTCTATGTACATGTATTCACGTATGCGAACAATACAGCAGTAAAAAAAACAGACGCGAGCTGCTGCTTCTGTAAAGTGATGTCAAGTGTCGCGCATGCGCTGTTTCTTAGTTTTCTTTGCCGATGATGTAAACAAGGCGTAACAATAAAAACGAACTGCAATGCACTAAAAGCATAAGACAAAAAGCTAGACAACGCAATAAAAATGCCATTGAGAGGGCGTGTGCGCTGGCAGAAGGCAAACGTGTTTATCTGCAATGGGAAGCGGGGAGTGGATGCGAACGTGACGCTTTCCATTAGCAATTGGCACACTCCCCAACACACAAACAACGCACTCCACAACACTTGCTGTTGTCGCTGCGTTAATTGTTGTTGTTACTTTACACAATTCCTAAATTGCTGATAAATCAAAGTCGCTTTCTATTTACAAACCTTACAAGTTGCCCGTGTGCTTAACAAATCAAATTGAACACACACACACACAAACACACACATACGCACAGTGCATAAATGTTAAGACTCTGCTGTCTAATTGTTTAATTAAACACTTGCGTTCTGCCTGCAATGCGAATGTGTGACGTCATCTTGCTGCAATTCCAAAGACTTCCAACAATTATTAGCGATATTTCCAGTTTTGCAGGCACGTGCTGACATACATAGTTTTTATATACAAGATTGCGCACCTGTTAGGTTTACAGCCCAGTTTGGCCCAAAGCCACACGCACGGCGCAGTTTAAACGAGTAAGCTACATATATGAAATTTTTATCAATCCACTTTCAGTTTGAGGCCTTTTACGGTGAGTAACGAGTGCAAAGAACTAGCCCATAAAACCTTTTTAATGGCTTTCTACGCTCGCCCCAAGCAAGTCGCATATGTTTTTATGTAGTGTAGAACAATTCAAAAAAGTCTCTTGGCTAAAAACATGCTCTCCTTCTCCTTGCCTCAGGCAGTATATGTATAATGAAAAGGTTCGGCTTGGAACTCTATAGATATCTTATAGAAACTAACGCATTACGAGCTTGAATATTTATCTAATATAGGAATGAAATATTAATATTATTATTATCTGACCTATAAGTGCAGAAATATAAGGCATATTTTAAGGGCATATACTCTTCGGTATTATTTCATGTAATGAATACCCAAAGCAGAGTTTGCCTTCAATTTAGGCCCGGAACTCTAGATATATCTTATAGAAACCAACTTTTTAGCAAGAATATATTATTATTATTATAATATACGGCACATTTAAAGGGCATGCACTCCTCGGTACTCCAAAGTTAGCTTCTTTTTCAATCATGTAATGAAATATCCCAAGTGAGACTTTGACTCCAATTTAGGCGTAATCTAAAATTAGTAAACCTTATCGTTTATTAGTTTTCTATTTCACGCATTTTCGACCAACACATCACATTTGGATTTTCATGTTGTGCTAATAAAATGATTAAACTAAATGCAATAGTTGTTGGCCCGAATGTTATCGAGTCATTATTATAAACAATGATTTGTCCGTATATATAGGCGATAAATCATTTATGTCCTGCCCAGTTGCCTTCATTAGGTTTGTCCACGGCCAAAATCGACCCTCGGCGCAGCTATGTACTATAGAAAAAGCACATAAATTTTTAGCTTTAACCCAATTGTAAGTTGTGGCACGCGATGTCCAAGCCAAGATTGCGTCAATGACCAACATTTACCGGACATGGCCAGCCCGCCAAACCCCCCCCCCCCCCCCCCCCCCCCCCTAAATAGGGGTCAGAAACCTACACATTTAGATGGGCATTTGGGCGTACAAACAAATTGATTGAAGAATAACTTAAGTACACACGTTGCCAGAGCTACCGAAGGCGAAAGACAACAATCCAAACATGCGCCCCGACCAGATGATAACGAAGCGCCAGAAGTCATTAAAATGGTGGCAACATTTCCTTTTTGGTGGAAAACTTATCGTGTTGCGATCAAAAAACAATATGTTTTTGAGTCCAAGATAAATATGACTCAAAATGTTATAAAAAAAGACCGTTAAAAGTCGTGTACATAACCTCAAATAACAAAATGTTAAACATTTCCTTTCGCAAAATTGACAGACACTTTGACAAAAGCCAACGAATTGCAAATGTTTTTGTAACCAATTAGAGCTCAGATGTCAACCGAACTCAACTCCAAGCTAAAGCTAGTATATCTCAATATATATATATCTATGTATTTATATATATATACGCAGGTAAATCTATATGTATTTACCTTATGAGTACTCAGGTCAGTGCACAACTACGAAATTGTGATTGGCGTCAAACTGGCTTTAACAAGGGCATGGGCCTGTCATTTTGTATCAGCCATAGACACCACTTGCAGCCCCTATAACGACACATAACGAGACACGCATAGAGTCAAGTGTATAATAAGCCCACATAATGTGCCATTGTGTTTCGAGTGGATACCCTGTAGCCGTTTATAAAGGGTATATGACAGTTATGCGGGCAGAAGGAGGCAAAAGAGTTTGAGGGAGAGGCAGAGAGATAGATATATAGGTATATATAGAAAAAGAGAGATAGAGAGAGAGATAGAGAGACAGAGAGAGAGAGAGAGAGAGAGAGAGAGAGAGAGAGAGAGAGAGAGAGAGAGAGAGAGAGAGAGAGGAAATATAGATATAGGTATATGAATAGATAGATACAGGTATAGATATAGGTATATGAATATATAGATAGAAGGAATGACAGAAAGAGAGAGAGATAGAAAGTCAAAGAGTGGGAGAGAGAGATAAAAAGTCAAAGAGAGAGAGAGAGAGAGATAGAAAGTCAGAGAGAGAGAGAGAGAGGGAGAGAGACATAGGGAGAAAAAGAGAAAGAGAGACAGAGAGAGAGTGAAAGAGAGATAGAAAGCATATTTTAATTTTCGATATCGAAAAATAATAAAATTGTGAGCTACAATCTTGATATTTGGTATACACAAATGGAATGGGGCTCAGGTTGGAATTATAGATGTATTTTATGTATAAACAGCCCGAATATATGTCACGACAGGGTATCTGCTAGTCGGGCAAGCTGTTATAATGCACTTGCACTTATTTTGTTGTTGTTGCAAGTTGCAAACTGTTAATCAGTTTGGTCTCACGTTTAAAACAAAAAGCTGAATTCCGTCATGGACTCTTTTGGGGCCAATGCCCAGACACAAGACACACACACACACGCACATGCACACACACACATTTGTGCCAAGAATTGTATGCCAAATAGTTATAAATTATTTTTGATGTTAAGTGAAATTTGTGTAGTTTTCACTTTGCGACCTTAACTGAAAGTCCAGGCCCCAAATACCAGACGGGCACGGCCCACAGCTCCAAGGGCCGCCCCACAAGCTCAAAAGTGAATGTGTGAATGTGTGTGTGATTATGGTTGGATTGTGTTTTTGTATTTATATATTAGATAAATCAGACGCACGATTAATCGACACATAAGCATAAAAATGCCTTTACTTTCAAGGTTTAGCCAAAGTTCAATGTGAACGCCCATTGTGGGGCGCCCAGCTCGAACTCGACTTGGATACGGGTTTTATTTTTTTTGTATTTGGATTTTTGTATTTTTTGAGGTACTTTAAATGGGCGTTAAACAATGAGTGTGTCGGATTTGCGCTTTAATTCGTGCATTTCAATTAACATTTGTCGAATAAAGACAAAAGTAACATTTTTTAAGAAAAGTTGTTATTATATATATGTATATATGTATAATACTCGAACACCTTACACACACGGCGTCAAGGTTAAGCGCATGCGATTTGCTTTAAATTCAAGTTCAATTCGCATTCTTCAGATACAGCCGTTGATTGTGCCCAGTTTGCCCCCCTTCTCTGCCACAAAGCCCCCATCCCTACCTCCCTCTCTGCCTCCCTCTCATTGCCAGATGTGCGAGCACGTCACCAGGCGCGATGAGTAGGCGCTTAATTAGCATGCTTAGCTCATGCTCTGCGGCCCGATCATGGCGTTGTAAACCTGATACAATCATCATTGGGTAAAAACCACAAGACCCATTCACATAATACGCTCGGAGACTTGCCTCTCTATCTATCTTTCGCGTTTATGCTGTGAAATGTACGATCTCTTTTGACATCGCACATTCGAATGGTCATGAAATCGCCAGCATATTGCATATAATTTCCTGACCTGGGACATAAATTGGAGCACAAATTGACTTTGTGCGGTGCCATATGTGTAAAATATTGCCTGGTGGCAACACTTGCAGTACCCTGATTTATCTAGGTAGATAAACTGCCTGATAAAATCTAGTCTGGCAAATTAGATAACATGCTAATAATAAAACTATTTTGATTTTGTCGTTTGCTGCTTTTAATAATTAGCATGAAGTTAATCTATCTTCTGGAATTTGACAGGCAGAACTGGCCGCAAATTATGATACTGTTTCTATCGGTTTGATAACACTGACAGACACCAACAAAAAACTAAAGCTTAAACACGCTCATGTCATTAATTTTTTTCCAGTAGGCACTAATTCTCGAATGATAAGTCATAGAAAAAGATTAGTATAGTTTTTCGATTCGACGAGCAATAGTCGAGCTCAACGTTTGGCCCAAAAATTGTAATTTCTTTATTAATTTTTTGCAACATTTAAAATTTATTTCAATATATTTAAAATTAAAGCGATCTGGCAACACCAAAAAGGTGCATGTTAAGTTGGCTGCGCCATTTCGAGAGAAGCTTTAGCTTTTTAATGGCTACATCTAGCCTCTTTAAGCTTGATATCTGATATATTTGTTCACTTAAACCCAGTTTTGTTATTTATAAATACGATAATTGGCACTACAAATTGAAAAAAAAAACCATAATACTTTACTAAGAACATAAATGTTAAGCTCAGCTTTAGGTTTGATTAATTTGAACAAATTGTGCCTCATACATTATAGATATATACATTTGTGCATTTAGCTTTTTATGGTTGTATGTTTTGCCATCTGTTTGTGACACTATAGCTGGCAATTAAATGGACTTCATGGCCAATTGCCGTTTACGACTTTGCAAGATGGTTTTAAGCATAAACCAGAACTTAGTCACGACGGGGAAAAGTCACGTTCTGAGTCATGAGCGCCAGGAATTGCGAGCTCACGTTTTGCGACAAATCATAAAAGCAATAATATTAATATTAATATTAATATAAATATTAATAATAGTTGTAATTAGCTAATAAATGAATTGGTTAATTGATGGCGTTGTAAGCTAATTACTTTGCCCCTTATCGCGGCTACTAAGACGAAATATTACGTATACGCAACGATGCATAACATTGGCACAAAAACAACACGAAGATCTGCGACTGGCCGAAAATTGAATACTCTTGTATGACTGAGTAATGCTTGTATTAGAATAGAATTATATGGTTAGATTTAATGAGTTTTTTTTAAGACATGTTAGGGTAGGAGAGAGCTTTATAGCCGATTATTCCTATATATTATATAGTAGATCGATAATAATAAGATTCTTATTATTGAATATTTGAAGAATACCCTCTTCTACTTTGCACACTTCATGACATAGTTATAGTACCCTTCATAAAGGGTATCCTAAGTGGAATGTATTTAATGTAATGTGTAGTGTGTACTTGGCTCTAGTCGGATTCTATCGCAGAGGGCGATCTGCATGCGCCGCCTTATCATCACATCATGATACGATGTTCACCTATGTACCATATGTATTTATATACATATATTGTATGTTCTCTTTTTTTTGGGGGGGGCCTGAGTACACGCTACGATAAGCACACGCATCGACGAGTGCAATTATGATTCGGCATGGTAATTAAAGTGTCTGGCGCGGGGCTGACATAAGACAGTCGCGTGGAGACTGTCGCTGGAATCGGGGACACGGTTCGTGGGAGATCTAATGATGGTCTCAACTCTATTCGACAGGTGCTCGAAGATGTCATTGCTGTCGCTGCTGTCGTTGGCCGCGCTGCTCAGCTGCGGCTCGGTGCGCTCTTTGCCTCAAGGTGCACCGGAAACGGTGTGCGACACCATGCTGCCGTTCCATGCCGGCGGCACGGTGCTGCCCGAGAACAGTGTCTCGCCCTTTGGCATTGAGACGTCCAGCTCGGTCATTGGCCAGGGCCAGACGCTGCGCGTCGATGTCACAGGTGCGCCCGCAGGCCTCAGCTTCGGCGGCTTCATGATTCAGGCGCGCAATCGCAATCCGCCCTATCAGATTGTCGGCCAGTTTAGTCCGTCGCGCGACGGCACCGTCAAGCTAATGAACTGTGAGAACTCCGTCAACAATTCGGCCACGCACAGCAATGCGGGCCCCAAGCCGCAGGTCAGCCTCGACTGGCAGTCGCCGGTGGACTTCCTGGGCCAGGTGGTCTTCAAGTAAGTGTCACGCATCTCCAGCTCAACAAAACTGACGACTGGATTGATGAGCCTTCCACTTGGAGAAACTCTCTTCTGATCCACATTAATTATTAACTTCCCATATGTATTCTCTCTAATCCTTCGTCCTCTTTTCCTTGCAGCGCCACAGTTGCTCAGTCGTACAATCAATTCTGGGTGGGCGTGCCCTCCAATCCCGTCCAGGTGGTGCGTCGTGATCTGTCGGCGGCTGCGCCACTGCCCACGGCCAGTCCGCCCAACAACTTCAATGTGAACTATCCGAGCACGCGCACGCCCTATGTGCCACCCAGCTATGTGGCGCCCAATGTGGTGGCCGTCGCGGAGGATAGCTTCTACGATGGCTGCGGTCAGAGCAAGAACTGTTTTGGCTTTCCCGATGGCTGCGTTGCCAGCAAATCCTGCACCTCCGTCTCGGCGGTCACCGTGCGCGGCGACATCTATGAGTTTGAGCTGCAATCAGGCAAGGGTAAGCAAATACCTAATCTCCGACAGAGCTCGTTAATGTAACTTATCCCTAAATAGGCACCAATGCCGCGTACGTGGCCTTTGGTCTGTCGGACGATGCCAAGATGGGCGAGGATCTGACCACGGAATGTGTGCCCGAAAATGGACGCGTGAATCTCTACTCCTCCTACACCTCGGCCAGTCCCTTTAGCGCCTTCAGGGCCAATGTGGTAAGTGCAGTTGCGTTTCTGGTGAGGATTCGGGCTGGTTAATTGCCCACTTTTCCCCCTTTGCAGCCACAAAACTCGGCGCGTCTGTTGAACGCCTCGCTGGTGGATGGCGTCATCTATTGCAAGGTGCAGCGCGATCCAATCACTGTGGTGCAGGGACGCAGCTTTGATCTGAAGAACGGCGTCTACCATATGCTCGTCGCCTCGGGCAGCAGCCTGAAGGAGAACAGCGTTGGCTATCACGATATTGGCCGCCTGCCTTCGGGCAATCCCATCAATTTGGCCGTCGTACAGGATGTGGGCGGCTCCAGCCAGCTGCTGGTGCGCCTGCACGGTGCCTTCATGATCGCCGCCTGGATAGGCACCACATCGCTGGGCATCATCTTTGCGCGCTACTTCAAACAAACCTGGGTGGGCAGCCAAACCTGCGGCAAGGATCAGTGGTTCGCCTGGCATCGCATGCTCATGGTCACCACCTGGACGCTAACCGTGGTCGCCTACATACTCATCTGGGTGGAGCTCAAGCGCGCCGTCTGGCATGCCCATTCCATAACGGGCTTGATTACGGTCATACTCTGCTTTCTGCAGCCCATCGGAGCGCTCTTCCGTCCCGGTCCGAATGACAAGAAGCGTCCCTACTTCAACTGGGGCCATTGGCTGGGCGGCAATCTGGCGCACATCCTAGCCAGTAAGTTCAGGAGCAGCGGATCTTCTTAACTTGGTCATAATTGAATTCCTTTGCAGTTGTTGCCATTTTCTTCTCTGTGAAGCTGCCAAAGGCGGAGCTGCCCGAGTGGATGGACTGGATACTGGTTGGATTTGTGGTCTTTCATGTGCTCGTCCATCTCATCTTTTCCGTAAGTGCAGGGGTTACGTGTGCGTGTGTGGGCGTGGGATCTGTCCCTTATATCACATGTGTCCCCAAGTGCTGTATATCTCTAGAGTCTAGCGTTTTGTCCCTCGCATTGCCTGTGTTTATAGATATTGTCCTTAAATGCCATCATTCATTTTGATACTAATTCACTCATCGCATGCATCGCCCCCGTTGAGCTAGTGGCTACGTCCGTTAATTTGTAGATCTATTTGTGCGTTAATCATTGGCAGATATCGGGCATCGCCTCGGACCGCCAGCAGAGCCAGCGCATCAACACGTTCCAGATGGGCGACATGACGCATCATCATCAGCACGCGATGCGCAACGGCATGAGCATGGAGCGCAAAATGGATGCACCGGTGAGTACTCCCACCTAATCCCATAGAGAATTCATTTTAACTCCTATTCTGTTTGCAGTATGGCGGCCTGCGCAAGGGTCTGCTGGGCATCTATAGCGTCGTCCTAGTGCTGTTCGTTGTGGTGCTCATTCTGCTCGTGGTGCTGGCGCCCATCGAGAAGCTGTTCGAGTAGGCCAACTAAGCTTAGGACAACCTTTAACAATCTCTTTACACGGCTGCAACTTTTAACAATTTTGTGCTCAATTGTTTTCGATGCTTATTATTTTTTTTAATTTTTTAATGTAACTCGTTTCCGTTTTATGTTGTTATGTGTGAATTAAGCGCAAAAAAGTGTAACGTTTCAGTACATGTTATATAATTTATTATTGATAATGTAAAACAAGCCAACTTAAATGCGTTCCTTCAATGCTTATCTAACGCTAACGCTATTCAGAGAGAGAGATGTTCTGTGCGAGGGGAGGGTAGGGCAGGGGCTAGGGGGTGGGGGGATCGGGGGCAACATATATTTGCAGCTGCTTTGATTTCTTTTTGTTTTTTGTTTAATATATTTTATGTTGGTAAAAAACTTTTTGTTCTTAATTTGCAGCTCCTAGATGATTCTAAGCTTAGAGTTCGTTTTTTCTCAATTTTGTAGATGTTTTTGTTGTTGTTGTTGTTTCGACTATTTAAAAATTAACATAAAAAATACAAGACTAAATTTTTTCACTTATTAATGCAGAGAACTTAAACCCAATATGTAAACGAAACGCTTAAAAACTGAGAAAACGAACAGAATCAGAAATTAGTATCATAATCATAATCAAAATCAAAATCGCTCCTCCAATATGACCGTCTCCTGCGGATACAGTTTGAGCGTTTCGAGCGTTTGGCCAGCATTGATGGCCGTCAGATCGCGTCGCGGCCAACTGCTAATAATCTTGTACTCATCGATAAGAAAACCGCTCGCGGTAACAAAGTTTAACAAATCCTGCGGAGAAATATGATCAAATTATATCTTATATATAACTGGAAATTCGCACGCACCTGGAGTGTGTCTCGCGTGAAAAATCGACGCTCCAAAAAATCGCCAGTTGGCTTGCGTACGCGTATTTTGGAAATGTTTGCTTCATGCTCGGCAGGCTCCTTAGGTAACGCTTGACTAGCCTGTAAGACAGTTAATATGATTAGCATATATCAGTATATGATATCTGGTATATAGCTTACCACTAATCTGATGGACTCGCGTCTAGCATCTTCTTCGGCCCGCTCGGATTCAATGCGTTTACGTTCGGCTGCCTGGGCTGCCTCCTTTTGACGTTTCGCTGCCTCTTTGGCCATGTCCGCCTGTAGCGTCTCCTCGTAGGCCATGTCCTGCTCAGCTTTGACCTGATCGCGCGCAGCGCGCTCGTTCTCCTCACGTATCTCACCCTGCAGCTGCTCCTCATACATCACCGTTGTCTCAATCAGACGCGACTGCAGATCAACCAGACCAATGTTGCCTGAAAGCCGTTAATTATATAGGTATTGATATCTCAAAAAAGGAACAATTTGGAGTCCGGCCAACTTACCATGAATCACAGATAAGACCTCGCATGTTTGGCGGCCCATGAGACGGCTTTTGCCAACTAGCATAATGGCGGGTAGCTTGTCAAGTTTTATATTTCTGGCCGTTAAAGAGGCGTTGCTGTTGATGCAGGCCGTCAGCGAGGAGAGGAACCTGCAGAACAGAGAATAATTTCCGTAAAATATGATGTGCTTAAAGCTTGTGTTTAAATAGGTGTGCCTACATGTCCTTGTTGCTCTCGTACGTCATGTCCCAGCCATAGAGAACGAAATTCTCTCTGAATGTCTGTATGATGGCCTCGTCCTTCATGAGATGATCACAGAATACATTTGTGAGTATGCTCTCGCCATGGTGCAAATAGATGGCCAACAATTTGCGCTAAAATACAAAATCAATTTGAACTGAATTCGAGCAACTGCTATGCTTTGGCCTACCTCCTTGGCGGGCTTGTGACAGGCCAGCCGCAAGGCGCTCTCTAAGCTGCCCACATAAAAGTCCGGATGTGGCTCACCAAAACGTTGTATATAGTTATCCACAAATTGTGTGGAGCCACTCGTCTCATCGTTCGTGTTATTCGGTACTGCAAAATGGAGAGCGAGAGATTAGCTCGGATAGCTGTGATTGGTTTAGATTGAAGCTTACTCAAATGCCTGTTGAGCGGCTGTACGGGCGGCGAATCTGAGAATATGTACTCCGAGTTATTAAAATCTGTGGCATCCTCAAACTCATCCGCTGAGCTCTCGCTGTCGAGGGTCACGACTTCACTGAACAGAGAAACAATGACAAGATTAACATACGATTAAACAAATTTCTATAATTATATGCACTAACGTGTTGGCCAGCAAATTGGAATTGTTAGATGTTCGCTCCGCAATGTTGCGAATCACAAAATCGTGCGTTTGCTCGATGCCCGATTGCTGCGGGGGGGGGCAGAAATATAATCAATAATTTAAAAATAAGTCTAGGCAGGGAACATCAAGACAAAAGACTAACCGCCAAATTGGTGTCGTTATCACAACCGCTGGGCCAGCCGGACCATTCCTGATGCCTAACTGGTATACTGGTAATGTAGTAAACATTCGTTTTCAGTTCTTGGATGGTTGTGCGTCCGGGAAAATTGAGTGTAAGCCTGCGTGCCTCTGGTCCGCCCTCCTCCACAATATGGATTTTGAATACCTTGTCCAAACGCTGTGTTACCTCATCCCTGTTATCGTGAAACAAATAGTTTAATTGTGTGCTGGAATGACTGCAGCTGGGAGCCGGCTTACTGTTCGGTATCCATGAAACCATCATCGGTTAGATCAACGAGTATCAGCTCGCTTTCGGGCGCCAAATCTAAAGTGCATAGCTGCGTCTCTGGTATTTGTGCATCGCTGGCTTTGGACGGCGGCCAGCCGCGTAGGGCCTGGCGGCATTGCGGTACATTTGTCACATCAAAGATCTTGCGTTTCAATTGTTCTGCAATGGTGAAGGAGAAGTGGAGAATCAGTATACATATATTCTCGGGGTACTCGAATGAACTCACCTATAGTTGCATTTGGCTGCATGCGAATTTGATAGAGCTGTTGGTTAAAGTGTATGTTGAATGTTAAGATGTTTTGGTTATTATTCTGCCTGGAGGGATCCAAGTTGATGCTCGACGTCAGCTGGGCCAGCAATTGTGAGGCTACAGTAGATAGATGAATATATAGATCCATTTGGGAGCCAGGAGAGAAGCGGAACTTACTTGGAAACATGCGTGCACCCTGCGAGGGACCTGGCAGCTCGTCAAAGTTGAAAGGCCTAAAGCCATTGGAATTTGGATTTGATGGCGCCGATGCGACTGCCACTGGATCCGGTGCTGGCGGCTCTGGTGTATGTATGGGATTGGCCAACGGCTCATCGTCGTGTGGCATGACACGGCTGAGTGCCTCCTGCATGCAACAGACAAGAACAACAACAACAACAACAATAAGAACAACGCAATAAAATATACGCATTTGTATAATAGGGAATGACGCACTTACCACAAGATCCCAATTGGATGCCTCCAGGTGGGAGAAGGCCTCGCCAACATCCTCTATTCCAGTTATCATCTGTGACATTGAATTTCAATTGAGTTTTGTTTGCATTCAAAATGATTGCAATTCCAAGACGCAGACACCCACACACACACGCACGCACACACACCCCGCATACTCGCACACCCACACACACACTCGCACTCGCACGCTCATACACACACACACACACAACATACGCATTGAAAATGTGCGCACTCAGCACTCGTTTGGGCCACAAATAATAACAGAAGTTTGCAGCGTCTAGCGGGATTTCGATGCAGCGTTTCTTACCTGGAAACTGGCCAATGTTTCTTCTTTGTCCTGGTTGTCCGACATTAGTGTATTTAATTAGTATTTCGAATTAAACTAAAGTACTACTAATTTTCACAAAGAAAAGACAAAAGACAGTCTGATGTAAAAAACATTCGCCTGTTAACGCAATGTTAACACATCTATGAGCCTGTTAACTTTTGGCTGGTACGCTGGTCACAAGAACAGCTTGCCAAGACGGTAGCAAAATCTGTTATCGGCTTGGGCGCATTACACAGTACTTTAACGACTAAAAGTTGAATTATTATTCATTTTTTTCATATATATATATTAAAGCATGCTGCTTAAATAAAAGTTTTGTTAACATATATGGCTAGGCAGTTAGCCAAAGTAGAAGCAATTGCATATTTCTAGTATGTTAGTGCACAGCTGAGCTGCGTACTAGTCATTAACAGTGTGGTGATGGAACCAAGTTATCGATAAAATGTTGTTGCACTTAACGATTTTCGATAAGACAAGGGCGATAGTTTTGGCGCACAATTCGAAATGCCAGCGAGGAGCTGTTAAAAGATTTATTGGAAAACCTAAACTTTTAGGGCAAAATAACGTGTGCATTGTGTATATAGTCTAACTTCTGCCCTACGTAGTGAATGCTGCATTGTTAAACAAACAATATGCTTATCTCAGCCGAGTTTTATTTTCGTTGGCAAAACCCTTCCTTAATCAATATAATGTATTCAGTTTTAAATTGTGATTAATATGCGTAACTTAATATTGCGCACCAGCGAGACCGCCCTCTAACGCACTCGATATCCCCAACACGCGTGAAACGCCCACATGCCCGCACCCCCCCTCCGTCACCGCCCACACGCGCCCCGCACACAGAACAAATGTCATCCAATTAATCTTCATAAAAGAGTGAAATCAAAGAACACGAAGGCGATGTGATTTCGTTGCGGCCAGCAGCCGGGCCAGGCATAGAACCAAACTGGCGCTCCATGCAACATGTTGAACTGTTTGAAAATTGTAACACTTGCCGCAATTTGTGTCGCTCTGAACCAGTTGCAAGTGGCCGAATCGACAGACAGATCCGTGCAGCAATTGCCGCAACGCATTTACGGTTTGCTGAATGAATTATCCTGCGGCTTGGAACTCAATGCGAGCGCCAAGTTCGCATTGCTGCTGGCCGAATTCCTGATAAAACGTGAGCCTAATGAGCTGTGTGATAAATAGATAGATACTTTATGTGCCATAAATAACAATTAATCTCGATTTATGCCACATCATGCACAGAGAAACTGCGCTATGCCACGCCCACACGCTACGAGAGACAACTTTACTATCATCTGCTGCACCGCATGGAACAGCTGCTGAGCTGTAAAAACCAGGCGGAAATAAGCGAACTGCAGCAGCTGAGTAAGATTTGCCATTTAAGTAAACTCCATATCCGCCCATATGCTCACTTTTGCAGTACTCCGGAGTGCATTTCAGCGCAATGTGCTGCTCCTGCCGCCCAGCTTGAAGTACGTCCGTTTAAACCCTGAAAAATGCCTACTTAGGCTCATCTTTCTTATAGATACGGCTCACTCCATGCCAATGCCGAGTATGAGCAACTGGCGCTGAACTATGAGAGTCTGGTTGAGAAGGGCGTGCCAAATGCCACACAATCGGATCTCTGCATGCGCGACATAGTTACTCTGGATGCCAGCGATTGCAAGCTCAGCCTGGACTGCCTGGACATACTGACCAGCGAGGCATCTGCCTATGGCTATCAGCGCACCCATCAGTAAGTACCCAGATACGCTCTGCTCAAATATAATAATATAATATGATATACATAATATAATAAATTAGTTTGCGCTTAAAGCTGGTTTAAATACGTTTATTAACATATTTTTACAGACGTCGAGTCTGGCTTTAAAAAGGGGTTTTAGACAGTTTTGGGTTTCATATATGTGAATAGTATTGATTGAAGCTGGTTTCGAAATAGTTAAAAAGCTTAAATTCCCAAGTTTTAGCCACCTTTTTTAAGCACCTTTTAAATAAAAGCACTTTCATATGTTTAAAAGCGGCTTAGCTTGGCCTAAAACCGGGTTTAAAGAGGTGCAATTGGTAAATATATGATAAGTATTCGTTGAAAAGCAGTTCAAGAACTAAACTAAAATCAAAAATAAAAAACATGTTCCGATCCTCAAAATCTCATATGGTATGCTCACCATAACCAGCTGTCCATTATTAGAATCTTTACTGTATACATATTGAGACTCAATCTTAATGGAATTACCATCTCTGCAGGGTCCTGCTGCTCTACATGCTGCAGCATCACAGATGTGCGCCCCGTTTGAGTCCCCCGCAGCTGTACGAGGAGCTGATTAAGATGCACTGCGACGAGATACTCAGCGAACAGAATGCGATACGCAGCCTGGCCTTGGGTCTGGGCAAGTACCAGGATCTGTATCTGGAGCAAGGTATGCCAAGATCCACAATTTTCCCAGATATAACTATTATGATGTATGGCAGCTACCATCTGTGGACTGGCTGGATATAATGAGTTCCTCAACTGGCGGAATGTGATGGAAATCGACAGCTGGCACGTAAATGAGACCAAGGAGCAGCACATCAAGGACCTCTCGCTGGTGTTCTATATTAACGCGTTGCTGATGCTGCATTAAATTGATGCTAACTGTTGCCGGTGCTCCTGCTCCTGCTGATGCTGCTCCTGCTGCTGCTGCTGCTCCTGTTCCTGTTCCTCCTGTTGTTCTTGCTGCTGCTGCTGCAGCTGCTCCTCCTCCTGCTGCTCCGCCTCTTCCTCCTCCTCCTTCTCCTCCTGCTGCTTTGCCTGTTGTTTCCGCTTTCTAATAACTGCTTTATAACTGAATAAAGTGCGGCTTTATTGCCTGATGACGAGTGGCAAGACAAGGCAGTTAATACTTTGTTATTGAACTGCGTGAGAAGATGCCTGTGTGTGTGTGTGTGTGTGTGTGTTGGAGTGGGGTTAAGGGGCTTGTCAGGTGGCGGCGCGCAACAGACGCCATTTGTTATGTGACACATTAGTTGCGCCTGGCTGGCTGCTTGATGGATGCCACGCAGGACGCAGGAGGAGCACGACGACGACGACGACGGCGACAACACTTTCCATTACAAAATGCTCGCATTGAAGTGGAATACTAATATTTGCCCTGACATGCTCGAACAAAATAAAATGTAAGAAAAAAAATAACATGGAAGCCAGCCAGGAGCTGCAAGCAGGCGGAGACGGAGCAGGAGGAGGAGACGGAGACGGGGACGGCGACTTGGTGCCTGGGATATTAATGCCTCATTTGCTGCAACTGACGAGTGGGTGGAAGTTGTTGTTGTTGCACCCAACTAAGCCTTGCACAAAAGACGCAAAGCACTCACACACACACACACACTTATACACTGGCATGTCAGGGGCTTGCCCCTTTGGCCAGGCAAAAGCCGCTGGCAAAGGCAAAGGACTTAACAGCGCATTGTCGAGGGCCATGAATGGGCCCGGTCATTAGCAAAGTTGACTGTCAGTGCAGCAACAACAACAATAGCAACAACAACAGCAACAACAACAACAACTGCAACAATAACAGCTTATGCACATGGTCAAGTCTCAGTTACACTGCCCACAGGAGCTGAGTGTCACCTCCCCCAACCCACCACACCGCCCACATTTGTGTTTTGTTTTCAATTCTTCTGTCACTTTCGGTCATCCACACCCCAATTACAACAACAACAACAACACTTGCAACCTGATCAGCTGTCGCTGCCGCCTATTGCCCTTCACAGCACGCCTCATCCTTGTTTTTTGTGTTCATTATGGGCTTTTGGCATATGTATGTGTGCGTGCTGTTGTGTCCCTCTTCAAGTGTCGGTTGCCTTCGGTTGGTGTTTATTGTGATGTTAAGTTGCAGGCAATAGCAAAAACAACAAACTGTTGTTTAACAGAGCCCCGCAGTTACACTGCCGCTGACAGCTTACTGTTCTGTTGTTGTTGCTGTTGTTGTAACTTGAGCCCGGAATGTTTGGCATGTTTCGATTCCATAACGTTTCACGCGTGCGCCAAAGCGAATGCGCTCTCTTCAAGTGCGCGCTCTGGATAAAAGGCTGCACTTGACTACTGGACGGGGTAGAAGGCAAGAGGTATCAACAGACTGCGGACAGAGCTGCCAGGGCAGCTAAAAGATTATTATCCTGTGCAGCCGGTTGCTAGCGAACTAAAAATAAGATAACAAGAAAATAATAGGAGAAAAGAAAAAAATAAGTGTATAACACAAATAAAAAGTGTAAGCTTTAGTATAGAACTACGAGTAATTATATTTCATTTCAACGTTCACTCATTGATAATTTCCATTTATTTTCAATTATGCCGACAACCCTAAACCACCCTGTCGTGTGTCCGTACCAGTTCATATTTGGCGCCTCTTTACGTGCTCGGATAATCAGCTAGCGGATACTACGAAACCGTTTTCGGCACTCTAAGACCAACAACAACAAGTCTCTCCGGCTAAGGTGTTTCATTGGCTACTGTTGGTGTTGTTGTTGTTGTTAGCGCGCTTCTTGCTCTCCGAACACTACAGTTAGTCACTTTGCGCTGACAGAGTTCCGCTTCGTTCCAATCAGCCACGGCTTCGATACGCGCAGTAGTCTCCCGTCAATTAGAGTGTGAAAACGTGACGCTCCACAGCAACGGCAAATAAAACGACGCCGCCACAGAGACATCCATTCGCAGGATACAACCAAAATATAACATATACACACACACGCGCGCAACAACAATAGCAGCAGCTAGTTGAATGGAAAATAATGCAAACAAATTAAATGTAAAATTCCATTAAAAAATAATGTGGTGTCAAGTGTAGAACAAAAAAAGTCGCCTTTAGGAGAGCCGAATGTGCAATGTGAAAGACAGCTTAAAGTATTGTGCGTGTGTGCCCGTGTGCGTGTGTGTGTGCGTGCGTTGATGTAAATACCACGAAAATCGCTGAACGCCGAAAATAAAGCAGCAGAAATCAACGAAGTCGAAGACGACGTCGCTGTCGCTGTCGCCGTCGCCGTCGCCACTCGCCAAAAAGCAAAGGCAATCTAAGTGAGTAGCAATTGTTGTTGTTGTTGTTGGAGAAACGAGGCGAAATGAAATAATGGAAATTTATGTTGGGCAAGCAGAGAGCGCACTTTAAAGTGCCACTTGAGTAGGCAAAGCAGGGCGAGGGGAGCGTGTTAGAAGCGTAAGAACTACATTTGTAAATACATATGTTTGTACATATGTGTGTGTTTGCTTGAGCTTATATTATATTTGGCAGATTTGGCTGCTGGTTGCATTCAAATAACGCATTCGGCCCGGGCAATATTCGCTGTGTGTTGACGTTTCTCTCTTTCTCTCTCTTTTTCATTCGTTTGGCAACTTCCATTTTGCAGTCAGTCAAATGTCTTTGAAATAATGTCGCACAGCTTACATACATACATACATACATATAAAGCTGCGGCTGCAATGGCCGCATACACACACGCACGTCACGTTCTGTTGCTGCTTTTACATTATGCTCAGTGTGCGTGTGTGTGGGTGACTTCTTTTGTTTTAGTCCTTGCCTGAAATTGCTTTCTGCTGTTGTTTTTCTACTTTTGTTGTACAGCTCAGCGCGACGTCTTTGACAGGGCGCAAGTAATATGCGCACCTGTGAATTTGCCATAAATTAGGCGCGAGAGAGCGCACACACACACACAGGCATACAAATCTATGTATATGTATACGCATGTCAAACGTTAAGAATTTAACAGCAAAGGCAGGCAGCAAAAACGCGCGCCAAACTTTTACGTTATGTGTGCGTGTGTGTGTGTGCGCTGGTGCCGTTACTAGGGTCAGTCTGTCATGCGTGAGCTGCTCGGCCCAAGCTAGGCCCCAAGAGGCGTCCTGCCATACCGCTACACTCCCCATCGAACTGTTCGTCTGTCTGGTTGTTTAGTTGTTTCTGTTTGTATTTTGTGGTCTGCCTTCAATTGGCTCTCAACGGGCTTTGCTCTATTTACCTTATAAAAACACAATTTATTGCTGCTTTAACGATTTTTCTTTTGCGGTTATTTTCTGTTAATGTTGCTGTTGTTGTTGCTGCTGTAGTTTCGTCTGTTACAACTTTCCTCTTTTTTTTTTTTTGCTCATTGACTTTGATGCTAGCTGTTTGTTTTATTTCAATGTGCTTGTGTTTGTATGTGTGTGTGTGTGTTTGTGTGTATTTACCGTTCGCTTTTCGTATTGGCTTTGTGTATTAAGTTTTGCGTGACATCAACACAAAAAATCATCAGCAACAAAAGCAAAAACAACAGAAGAACAAAAAGTATCCACTCGTTGAGGCAAGGATATCATTTGTGCTGTGTTGGCCTTGTTATAGTTTTAAATCAATAATTTATACTATAGCCAGGCAACAGAATAGCTCGCATACAATATAGTTTTTGTGTTTGCTTGTTCCAGCTAATCAAGTTTTAGTTTTAGTTCTTTGTTGAGTAGATATAACAAGTAATAGGTGCTTAATCCGATTCGGCTCATAGAAGGGCACAGATAAAAACACACACATACATGCGTGTGTGTGTGTGTGTGTGTGCGTAACAATATCTGCGTGAAAAAGAGTGTAACACACAACATAACATAGCTGTAGCAGTCGATCAGCTCAGCAGTAGGAGAGTTTGTATAAGAGAAAAGTAGCAAAACTTTAACATAACAGTTACGCTTCTTGTCTTAACATAAGATTTTATAGTCACAAGTGCTAACAGTACAGTTGTCATAAAACAGCAACAGTGCAATAACTTATATTAGCAGTGGGGGAGTTATAAAAGAGGGAGGCAAGCGAATGGCCAATGTTGTGTAACCTATAACCTATAAGCTGCAGAGCTAAGGCATAGATGTGTACAGGGTCAGGCCATAAATTAATGGAATTTGGCAATTGCAAACAGAGGTTTTTATTAACATTACATCACAAAAAAAAAAACAATTTGTTTTTACCTTAAATGCGTTTTGTTGTCGTTAGTTACGATTTTCTTTGTGGCACTCAAGAAAGCTCCAATTGCCCAATTGTCATTTCTTGTTATCCAACACTCTTTCAAACTTGGCCGTTTGTGTGTAGGTCACGTTGCCCAACTAAACAAAAAAAAAAAAAAAAAACAAACAACATCAAGAAAAATATTATGAATTTACGATTTTTGTGCTGACTTTTCTCATAAACTTTATCCACTGCACCGGCAGAACTTTATGCGAAATTGTGCGGGAGCCGAGAGAAGAAAAGCCAATCTGGACGGAGAAAAGTGGTGTCATAAATTCAGGGCAAGATCCCTGCAGACGACAATCAATAATTGACGGAATTGTCAATTAATCGTAGCATACTTTTCAGCTGCTTCAAATTGGAAATGATGTTTTTAGTTTTTCATTCATAGAACTGTGTAATTAAATCAATGCCACTCGGCGCTAATTTAGTTCCATTAGCTTCATAATTGGGTTGATTAACTTTTCTTTTTTTTTTTTTTATATTTTGGCCCGTGTCCGAGAGCTAAGTGCCATTAATTTCGATTCTGGCAATATCAATGTGTTCGTCTAATTAGTTTGGGGCTGCGGCAAATGTTCTAAAGCGCCCAAAAGGCCACTTGCCACTTGCCATTTGCCACTTACCACTAACAACTTGGCCTGCTGCAAAATTTTCCAGCCAAATGAGCGCACGTTTTTGCTGCGTTTACCTGAATAATGAGTTTTCATGT